GAGATTCCTCAATTCAGGCAATGTTTTTCAAATCGTCTGTAGTTCAGTTTCAGTATTAAGAGTTGCTTTTATGTTCCTCTATCAGCTTATAGTCTGGCCATCTCCAGTGACCTCTGGCATTTTTGCCCAGAGAACTGAAGCTCACTGGATATTTTATCTTTTCTAGACCATTATCTGCAAATCCCAGAGATAGCAGTGTAGAAATATCCCAGAAGATCAGCATTTTCTAAACTTAACAATGCCACATTCACAGTCACTGAAAGCACCTTTCTGACCTGTTTGGATGCTCAGTTTGAACCTTAGCGGATGATCTTGACCATATCTACATGCCAAAATGTATTGAGTATCTATCATGTAATTGGTTCATTTAAGATTTTAATGCATCTCTTATTGCATCAGCATGAATAAATATAAGCTGATGATCGCTACCTTTAAGGATAACTTGTGTCAAGAATCAGCTTAAAGTTCAGAAGAATAACCTTGAATTAAAGTAAGATGCTTGCTAACACTAATCAGCTGCTCTGGCTCATACAGGAAAAGGAAAGAAAAAAACCATTAGAAACTACAAGCAGAGTGGGAGGGGCCTTAACAAAAGAAATGATGTTGCACAGTTTGTCCATTAGAGAGCACTAACAAGTTAATTTTTCAACATCTGTTTCAGAATGGTTCTTGTCATAAAAGCAAATAAGAGGCCATGTTAAGACTCGGGGTGCATTTGCCTGTCAGTGATGTACAAGCGCACATTATTGATAAGGGTGTAATGTGCTTGTGTTTATGTCACAATTCTTCATATTTTAAGTGACCAAGAGTGGTTTAACAAGCACTTCAGATACAGATACACAAGTTAAAACAAAGTAACTTTATCATGACATTAAAACGTTTAGAAACTTGCAGATTTTGTATTTGATTGGTAACCCGTGGAGTGAGGCCAGTGCAGGGGAGAGCTGCTTTGTCTTCTTGGTATGACTGAGGAGTCTCTCTGCTTCACTGTAAACCACCTGCAGATGAGACAAAGACTGACTCAAAGAAAACAAGACATGAGCTAAAAAAAACCTTCATGATATTCCTGAGAACTGGCTTTATCAGGAGGGTTTTTTTTAGAACTGATAATCAGCACTTTGTTTTATTACATAGAAGTCAAAGGGAAAAGATAGAAGATGATGATGAGATGAGAAGTGATAAACTGGTTCCAACTGTGGTAATTTTCCAGAACTGTAAAACCTGTCTGTGAGTTATACTTATGTTGTTTTGTGATCCTTTTTTAACTTCCCTGCATAAATACAGTCCTGTGCAACGTTTTAACTGCACAGCAGTTTTAATCTGAGTCAGTGGTGAAGTATTCCTGTGTAAAATGAATCGTTGCCAGTTTGGGTGTCAGTGATTTACTGATATCACTCAGTCACAAAGATCATATAATCCGTGATATGAATCCACTATGGAGGTAAAAAGGCTTCTTTTCAGGAGCATCTGAGGGTTTTTTTTTT